GTTGCCGGGTTTGGAGACCCACCTGTTCTTATGGATCAAATGAGCATGGCTCATCTAAGTCAGAAGCCTTTCTGAAGAGCTTAGAACTTTGTCACTTGATGCCTTCTGACTTCTGGGTCTTCAAACTTTTCAGAATGTCATAGTGAGTCCCCCAAATCTTCTCTGCAGAAACTCCAGGGAGAGAGAAGTCCCAAGACCATGAATGAGACCGTCCAGGAACTCTTCAGCTTCATTCCAGGAGACTGGGAGCAATATTTGGACAGGAGCAGTTCGCGGTGTCGTAGGTGTGCTGTTGTAGGAAATTCAGGGAATCTTCGGCAGTCACAGTATGGCCAGCAGATTGATGCTCATGACCTTGTGTTTAGGTAAGTAGCTACAAGTCCCTGGGTTCAAGTAAAATCACTCCTGGAGAGAGAATAGCCTCCATCCACAGAAAGCAGTAGTAAGATGAGGGGTTTATCTTCTTTGCACATGGCAGCCATCCTTTCGAGGAAGCAGAAGAGGCCATAGCAGAAAAGAATCCCACTTGTACACAGTTGCCCTCCATCTCTTTCCCATTCTTTTTCTTAACAATCCTCCTTTTCTGCTCATGCCCTGCCAGATATGGAGAAATGGTATCCAAGAAACAAATAACTTAATCCTCTTTGACCCAATTGTTGACGGTTCTTTTAGGCCAGGGATCTTCAAACTTGGCCCTTTTATGACTTGTGGACTTCAACTCTCAGAATTCCTCAGCCAGCGTGGCTGAGGAATTCTGGGAGTTGAAGTCCACAAGTCATAAAAGGGCCAAGTTTGAAGACCCCTGTTTTAGGCCATGGGAGCCCACCACCCCTGCCAGAATGTTAAAAACATTTCTCAAAATCAACATTTCATTTTTTTCCCCACCTCAAGCACAAAGTTCAGAAATGGTTTCCAAGTAGAAGCAAAGCAGTTATATTCTTTTCATTAATCAGAACGGTCAATTTAGCCTCATCTCTGCTAACTCCATCAGCTTTTGTAGCCACTCATCCATGGTGGGAACCGAAATGTCCTTCCGTTTTTATGCATAGAGCAGACATGTGAAACACAAGGCCCGGGGGGCCAGATGCGGCCCACAAAGTGGTTTCATGTGGCCCGCAAAGCCATCCTGGAAACAGTGAGGGAACGGCCCCCTCTGCCTTGGCCCTGGCCCAGGCCGGCCGGGAGCCAATGTACAATTTTGTGGTGGCCATCTATGCTGAAACGCATTCAGTCTTAGCTCCACAAGGCCGTCCGTAAACAGTGAGAAACCAGGAGAACCTTGAGCAGCAGCCTTGAGGAAGTGGGGCTGGGCTTGGTGCCGCGGCTACTCAAGGGCCAGGCTGGGCATTTGACCTCTGCTGCCCAGGGCTCCGGGCAGCCCGCACCACCAACCCCCCCCCCGCATGGCCTGAGAGGAACAGTGAGGCTCCTCCAGTGGACCATGCCTTGGCACTTGCCCTGGTCCCAACCCCTTCTGCCAGAGACCCTCAGATCTGTCCCACTCCTGCCCAGGCCCCCACCGGCACCCTTGACGCGAACGATGTAGAGCTGACCACACCCACCCAGTAGGCCACACCCATCCAGTAGGCCACACCCACCCCATCCACACTCACCCAGTAGGCCGCACCCACCATGGCCACACCCACCCGGCCCGTTGAGGGCAACTGCAATGCTGATGCGGCCCTCAATGAAATTGAGTTTGACACCCCTGACATAGAGTATTCTTGTGCCGTCAACCTGTTTAAGATCAGAATTCCAATTTCTTTTTCCCAAGACTTTTTCCATGAAGCCCAAAAGAAAAGTGTCTGGTCTTATTTTTACATTCACTTTAAGGCATTTTCTGTATTAGAATATGAATCCTGCTCCAATATTTCTTTGCTTTATCGCATGTCCACCATAAAGAGTAAAAGATTTGCTGTTATAGAAATAGCTAGTTTATAATATTATGGAAAAGTAAAAAGTTGATGTTAATGCCTTACTCCAGAGGTCCCCAACCTTTTGGGTACCAGGGACCAGTTCCGTGGAGAAAGGTTTTTCCACGGACCAGAGGGTGCATGGTTTGTGTGCTGCCTGCATCCCACAGATGATGATGATGATGATGATGATGATGATGATGATGATGATGATGATGATGATGATGATGATGATGATAATTTGGAAGGGACCTTGGAGGTCATCAAGTCCAATCCCCTGCTCAGGCAGGAAACCCTATACCATTTCAGACAAATGGCTGTCCAGTCTCTTCTTAAAAACTTCCAGTGTTGGAGCATTCACCGCTTCTGGAGGCAGGTGGTTCCACTGGTTAATTGTTCTAACTGTCAGGAAGTTTCTCCTTAGTTCTAGGTTGCTTCTCTCCTTGATTAGTTTCCACCCATTGCTTCTTGTCCTGCCTTCAGGCACCTTGGAGAATAGCTTGACTCCCTCTTCTTTGTGGCAGCCCCTGAGATATTGGAACACTGCTATCATGTCCCCCCTCGTCCTTCTCTTCATTAAACTAGATATACCCAATTTCAGCAACCGGTTGCTGGCATGCCATGGCCTGGTACCGGTTCACAGACCAGGGGTTGAGGACCCCTGCCTTATTCTAACTGCAAGGAAGTCAGAATTAAATGCCTTTTTTTTCTTTCCTTCCTCTCTTCCACACTTCTCTCTTACCCTCCCCTCCCCCTTGTTTCCCACTACTTGCTTTTGTATTTTTGTATTTTATATTATTAAGCGAATAAAAAATAAAAATATCATGGATACCTTTGAATTATTTCAAAATTTCAAAAAAGAAAATAATCAGCAAAGGTCTCCCAAATCTAGCCTTGCTCAAGTGGATTTGCACAGATAAATGCGGCATGCAGATAAATCAAGAAAAACGGTCTGTTCGAATAGCAAACTTCCATCTTTACTTATCACTTGCCTAATCCCCAGGAACAATGTTTTTCTTGTCCTTGTCATATTCTTGTCATAGCTTAACCGCTATTGTTCTCCTTTTATTTGAACAAGTTGCAAGCTGCCTCTAGGAAACGATGTTTTCTAACCACAGCTTAAAATAAGAACCGCATCCCTGTCTTTCAGATCAAAAGATGTTGCATATACCGGTTGTCCTTGACTTATAATCATTTTTTTAGCGACCGTTCAACGTTACAAGGGCATTGAAAAAAGTGACTTATGGCTGTTTTCCACACTTATGAACCTTGCAGCGTTTGGCAACTCAAACCATATTTGTGACAGTTGGGAGTATCCCGGGAGTCATGCGATCACCTTTTGCAATCTTCTGACAATTCAAGTCAATGCGGAGGCCAGATTCATTTAACCACCATGACTTGACTGACAACAGCAGTGGTTCATTTGGCAACTGTGGCAAAGAGAAAAGCAACCTAGACCAGTGGTGGCGAACCTATGGCACAGGTGCCAGAGGTGGCACTCAGAGCCCTCTCTGTGGGCATGGCACCATTGCCCCAGTCCTAGGCCTTCAGCTGGGTTTTATAAAACCTTTTCGCTTTAGGCCTTCGCCGCCGTTTACAACAAAAAAAAGGTTCAATCAGTCAATTTCAACTTCTCGCGGGAAAAAAAAGTTCTTGCAAAGTTGAAATTGATTGATTGAACTTTTTACTCCCACCCAGTCTGTCGTTACCATGGCAGCCACGCCCACCCAATGGGCCACACCCAGCCAATGGGCCACACCCACCCAGCACCCGATGATACATGTGGGTTTTGGGTTGCAGTTTGGGCACTCAGTCTCTAAAAGGTTCGCCATCACTGACCTAGACCTAAGGAGAAACTTCCTGACAGCTAGAACAATTAATCAGTGGAACTGTTATGGTTCCGACAGACAAAACTCTTCAAAGAACTTTGAGGCATTGTTTACCTTAAAGAATCTTTATTTGAGAAGCATAGCATCGGCACTAACACAATCGAAGCCAAAAACTGAATTCCCCTCCCCTCAGCACATAGTATCAAAGCATGATTCCCTCCTCTCATTAACAGCCATAAATCACATTCTCCAATTAGTTTGAAATGCAGGCTTTCCCTCCAGTTCTCCAACCCGCCATTTCTTATCATCTCTTATTTCAATAACCTTGGTTCACACACTAGGTTCAGTATTGTTATGTCTAGCTAAACTCCCATGCACATTCCTCCTCCTCCCTCCCCCCAGTATCATCTAATTCTAACTCTAATTCTAAGAGTAAAATGTAAGAAGAAAAATGGCTGCATCTCCATATGTGGTCAAAGCAAAAACATCTGATGTTAGCAGCGTTGACAGGAGCAACCTGCCTCCAGAAGCGGTGAATGCTCCAACACTGGAAGTCTTTAAGAAGAGACTGGACAGCCATTTGTCTGAAATGGTATAGGGCAGTGATGGTGAACCTTTTAGAGACCGAGTGCCCAAACTACAACCCAAAACCCACTTATGTATCGTCGGGTGCCGGGTGGGCATGGCCCATTGGGTGGGCGTGGTCCATTGGGTGGGCGTGACTGGTGGTAACGGCAGACTGGGTGGGAGTAAAAAGTACAATCAATCAATTCCAACTTTGCAAGATCTTTTTTTTTCCCACGAGAAGTTGAAATTGATTAATTGATTGATTGAACCTTTCTCTTTTTTTTTGCACACAGCAGCGGAGGCCTAAAGCGAAAAGGTTTTATAAAACCCTAGGACTGGGGCGGTGGTGCGTGTGCCCACAGAGAGGGCTCTGTGTGCCACTTGTGACACACGTGCCATAGGTTCGCCACCACGGGTATAGGGTTTCCTGCCTGAGCAGGGGGTTGGACTAGATGACCTCCAAGGGTCCCTTCCAACATTATTATTATTGTTGTTGTTGTTGTTGTCATAAAACGGGGCAACATTCATTTAACAACTGTTTTAGCAACAGAAATTTTGGGCTCAATTGTGGTCGTAAGTCACGGAGTAAATCCAAAGTATTATGAGTGTTCTTCTTCTCGTTGACTGATACTTCTTCTCATTCCTCAATATTTTTCCCCCCTTTTTGCATGAAGAATGAACAAAGCCCCAACAAAGGGCTTCGAATTGGATGTCGGCAGCAAAACCACTCATCACTTTGTCTACCCAGAGAGCTATCGAGAACTAGGGGAGATGGTCAACATGATTCTCATCCCGTTCAAAATCTTAGACTTGCGTTGGGTCATCAGTGCCCTCACAAACGGCACCATCAATCAGTAAGTAGACCTGAGGAACAAGAAGACTTGGCCAATCGTAGATTCTTCTGCATGTTGAGTGTTTTCCCCAGGTAGCGGAGACGTAAGATGGCAATACTGAAAAAGTCTGGGGGAAATGGACCGGAGGGTGCGTGGTTTGTGTGCTGCCTGCATCCCACAGATGGGGCTTTGCTTGTTTGTGTGGACCGGTTGCTGGCATGCCGCGGCCTGGTACCGGTCCACAGAAGCAACGGATGGAAACTAACCAAGGAGAGAAGCAACCTAGAACTGAGGAGAAATTTCCTGCACAGTGAGAAGAATTAATCAGGGAAACAACCTGCCTCCAGAAGTTGTGAATGTTCCAACACTGGAGGTTTTTAAGAAGAGATTGGACAGCCATTTGTCTGAAATGGTACAGGGTTTCCTGCCTGAGCAGGGGGTTGGACTAGATGACCTCCAAGCTCCCTTCCAACTTTATTATTATTATTATTATTATTATTATTATTATTATTATTATTATTATTATTATTATTATTATTATTATTATTATTATTATTATTATTATTATTATTATTATTATTATTATTATTATAAACCCTCTTGCTAAGTTTCTAAAATTGCTGGAAAGCCGAAGTAGGGAGTTCTAAACCTTTGGGAAAATTAATATATAATACAGGTAGTCCTTGACTTACAGCAGTCCGGTTAGTGATCGTTCAGAGTTACAACAGCTTTGAAAAAAAGTGACCCGCAACCATTTTTCACAGTTGCAACCTTTGCAGCATCCCCATGATCACATGATCAAAACTCAGATGCTTGGCAATTGGTTCATACTTAACGACCGTTGCTCCGTTCCAGGGTCACGTGATTCCCTTTTGTGACCTTCTGACAAGCAAAGTCAATGGGGGAAGCCAGAATCACTTAACAACCGGGTTACTAACTTAGCCAATGCAGGGGATTCACTTAACAACTGTAGCAGGAAAGGTTGTAAAATGGAGCAAAACTCACTTAACAAATGTCTCACTTAACCACAAACATTTTAGGCTCAATAGTGGTCATACGTCGAGGGCTACCTCTACAGGGAGTCCTTGACTTACAGCAGTAAAGTTAGCGACCGTTCAAAGTTACAACGGTATTGAAAAAAAGTGACTTATGACTGTTTTTCACATTTACAACCGTTGCAGTATCTCTGTGGTCACAAGATCAATATTCAGACTCTTGGCAACTGACTCATATTTACGACGGTTGCAGTGTCCCGGGGTCATGTGATCACCTTTTGTGACCTTCTGACAAGGAAAGTCAAAGGGGAAGGCAGATTCGCTTAACAACCGGGTTGCTAACTTAACAACTGCTATGATTCCCTAAACAACTGTGGCAAGAAAAATCGTAAAATGGAACAGAATTCACTGAACAAACGGAACTTTTGTTTAGATAGTAGGACGGTGAGGTCCTTGCTTCTCTTTCAGCTTGGTGGTTTTCTTGCAGTTATTTCCTTATCAAACTAGGTAACACCTTCTGTGCTAGAAGGGAGTGTGGTTTAATCTCTGTTTACATACAAGTGGCTTGACTTGTCAGTGTCTATGGCAGACATGTCAAACACAAGGGCCGGCGGGCCGGATGCAGCCCGCGAAGTGGTTTCATGTGGCCCGCGAAGCCATCCTGGAAACAGTGAGGGAAGGGCCCCCGCTGCCTTGGCCCTGCCCAGGCCGGCCGGGAGCCAATGTACAATTTTGTGGTGGCCATCTTGGCACTTGCCCCGGTGGACCATACCTTGGCACTTGCCCCGGTCCCACCCCCTTCTGCCAGAGACCCTCAGATATGTCCCACTCCTGCCCAGGCCCCCATAGGCACCCTTGATGCGAATGATGTAGAACTGACCACGCCAACCCAGTAGGCCACACCCACTCCATCCACGCCCACCCAGCAGGATGCACCCACTCTGCCCACACCCACCTGCCCCCCTCCAGGGCAACCGCAATGTTGATGCGGCCCTCAGTGAAATTGAGTTTGACACCCCTGGTCTATGGGAATATTCTTGGTGGTTCCTTGAGTAGGCTGTTGTTTCCTGCTAGCTTGTTTGTCTGAGTTGGTAGTTCCTTAATTGGTGTATTATTTACTTGTTGCTTGTTGGTCTAGTGCAGGGGCAGGCAACCTTGGCTCTTTTATGACTCGTGGACTTCAACTCCCAGAATTCCTGAGTTAGCATGGCTCAGCTTGGAAACCTCTCCCTTTCCCCTCAGCATGGCTGGCTCAGGAATTTTGGGAGTTGAAGTCCACCAGTCATAAAAGAGCCAAGGTTACCTACCCCTGGTCTAGCGTTAATCTTGGTGTTAATCTCTGTTCCATCTGGGTGTTGATTGCTAGTGAGGTGTTGCTGATGTTACTTATGCGCTGATGATGTTACCCAGTTTGGTAATGAAAATCTGCCAGGAAACCACCAAGCTCAGAGAGCACCAAGGATCCCACAGTTGAACCCTGAGCTACAAATATTCTCTTCTATCAGTATGACAGGTGCTTGTTAAACACACCTTAACAATTTCTCAAAGGCTTCTACTCTAAATGATCACTGCTGCCTTCTGGGACTCTTAAGTGTCTCAAAAATTAGAAGCTGAGCTACGAAAGCAAGAACATTTTCAAGGGAAAACTAGACAGCCTTCTCTTATTGTTCTCTTCTGGGTGAGAGAACACTGTTAATCTAATCAAATTAAATGAAGAAAGTTCCTCTTTTCAGCTATTTTATATTAGTGGCCATCCTCATAGTTCCCATAAGTTCTGCATTGCGTGAAAATGTTGTTGTTTTTTTCCTTGTGATTTCCCTCGAATATCTTCTACTCTCTATAACAGGGCTTTTCAACCAGTGGTAGGGGTACCACCTGTGGTACATTGGCACCTGGCAGGTGGTACGTGACCATCCTAGAAAAGTGGTAGCGGGGGAGGGGAATGAGCTGAACTGGTGGCAGCACCACACAAGCCTGAGCGAGAGATGGCTGGAGCTGCAGGGCTGTCCGGGCTCAGCGGAAGCGCCAGGATCAGTGCTGCTTTCTAGCTGATCGGCGTTTCTTCGGGGCTGTCAGGGCTCAGTGGAAGTGCAGGATCAGCGCCAGGCTCCAGCTGGAGCTTGATGCTGATCGTGGCGCTTCTGCTGAGCCCAGAAGAAGTGCCAATCAGCTGGAATATTGCAACATCTCCAGGGTCTTGTGATTTACATTCAGATGCTTGGCAACTGATTCATATTTATGACGGTCACAGTGTCCCAGGGTCATGTGAAGTGACCAAAACCTGCTGCAACCACCCAGCAGACGGGAGGAATAAAAACCAAATACCTCCCCATCCTACCCCCACTGCCAATCCTCAACAGAAATGCTCACAACAATGAAAACCTCAGACAGGAGGAAGAGCACGGCTGGGCGGGCAGGCAGGTGTCTTGCTCGGCTGTGGCTTGGGGGGCACTTTTTTCAATGCCATTGTAACTTTGAACAGTCACTAAGCGAACTGTTGAAAGTCGAGGACTACCTGTTACTTTATCACTTTTTTTCCTTTTTTTGGGGGGGTCATCAAGTTTTTGACACCTTGCTAGGCGACTGGTGGTACTCGGATGCTGCCATATCCTAAAAGTGGTACAATGGGTGAAAAGGTTGAAAAGCCCTGCTCTATAACACCAAGAGGCTAAACTAGGACCACTGTTAGCTTAATGTCAACAATGGGGAAAAAATGTGTCTTAATAGATTTTACACTAAAAGCACACGTACGTATAAGCACACTCGCAAACGTGGTGGGAACAATGGAGTCACAGTAGCGCTTCCTTGTTGTCCAGGAAACACTTTTGTATTGCGCACAAGGGGATATTAATATGCATTGGAATTTGTATTTCATCTACTCAGCAAAAGGGCGTTTCAGGACAAGGATCTCGTGATCTGAATTGTGTAAAGGGAAGGTTTTAAATTTTTTCTTCTTTGTAAGATCCAAAACTTGGTTTTCAGGACAGCGATGCAAGTCATGTGCGAAAGATGTGACAAGTTGCAAAGTTTTCATCATTGGCAAAGTCCGTGTCTTTTGACCAAATAAGGAAAGATTATGTCTTCTCCTATCGTTGTCTGTTCTTCTATTGTTTACTCAAAAATCCATTGACAAACATTCTTTGGCAATTTTTCCTATTGCTTTGTTTGTGTAAATCTTTTTGCAGGATCCAATTTGGATCAGTCACCAGGTCTTCTGAGCTTTCGGATTCGGGCTGTGTGTTATTCATGCTTTGGGTATTCGGGGTGTGATATTTATGTGGCGCCTGGTTGTATGTGGCTTTTTTAGCCACACCCAACCAGGCAACATATAATAAATACCACACACAAAATAGCCCAAAGTACACACTCTGCTAGAGAGATTCCCTGAGGATGAAGCATGAGTCAGAAGATAAAACCCTGGTCCCAGTGACCAACCCAGATTGGATCCTGCAACATTACCCTGGGACACGTATATATTGGCCTTCATTCGTATCAATGTTTATTTATTTCCAAGATTAAAATACAGACAAAAAGAAAAGAGAGCAACAAAGATGATTAGGGGACTGGAGGCTAAAACATATAAGGAACGGTTGCTGGAATTGGGTATGTCTAGTTTAACGAAGAGAAGGACGAGGGGGGACATGATAGCAGTCTTCCAATATCTCAGGGGCTGCCCCCAAAGAAGAGGGAGTCAAGCTATTCTCCAAAGCGCCTGAGGGCAGGACAAGAAGCAACGGATGGAAACTAACCAAGGAGAGAAACAACCTAGAACTAAGGAGGAATTTCCTGACAGTGAGAACAATAAACCAGTGGAACAACCTGCCTCCAGAAGCGGTGAATGCTCCAACACTGGAAGTTTTTAAGAAGAGACTGGACAGCCATTTGTCCAAAATGGTATAGGGTTTCCTGCCTGAGCAGTGGGTTGGACTAGATCAGTGGTTCTCAACCTGTGGGTCGGGACCCCATTTGGGGTCGATCGACCATTTCACAGGGGTCGCCAAGCAAGGCTGTCTGCCATTTTTTTGTCCGCCATTTTTTTTGTCTGCCATTTTTTCCCCCTTTTCCGGCGGGTGCCTTACCTCCCTTGGGCTGGGCCAGCTGGTGGTCGGCCTGCTCCGTCTCTGCCACTTGCCAGCTACGCCTCGGCCGGTGCAGGGGGCGGAACCACGCATGCGTGGCGCTCCCGGGCAGGGAAAGTCCTCGACTTACGACCGGTTGGGTAGTCCTTGACTTACGACCGGTTTAGTCCTCGACTTACGACCGGTTTAGTCCTCGACTTACGACCGGTTGGGGGTCGCGGCATTAAAAAGGTTGAGAACCACTTGTCTAGATGACCTCCAAGGTCCCTTCCAACTTTATTATTATTATTATTATTATTATTATTATTATTATTATTATTATTATTATTATTATTATTATTATTATTATTATTATTATTATTATTATTAAAATTACAATACAAAAACAAACAAATAAAAAGTGTACAAACAAAATATCAAGCATACACAGAAAATGTCCCTTCTGGTTGAACACTGATAAATATATTTCAGCAACCGAAATTATTCCCTTTTCCTTGCAAAACAGGACCCGTCTATAAACACCTACCTCTATATTTGCAAAATTGCTATCTGACATTAAAAATATCACAGTTCTAGAAATCTATTATCAGTCAACCGATTTGATCTACTATCTATCTACTATATTTAAAAAAAAAGGTTAACAAGAAGTCCTAACTACCAAAATTGGCAATTTTTCGTAAATTAATCTTAAAAATTGCTTAGACTGCATTGTGTGTACCAGTCCCAGCAGAGATATTTTTCACATCAACAACCAACTGGACTTTTTCCAATGAGGGGATCTATATTATGCAGTAAATAGTTGCTAGAAATCGAAGCAAAAATCTTTCCTTTATTACAGTTTATGAGAAGGCTCAGAACTCACATATTTTTCCAGGCCTTTTAGTGTTACTGCCTGCAGTTTTTGTGCTTTATAAGTGTTGCTACTTTTATAGTTTTTTTTATTGTGTCTTGTAATCTAGCCAGAATCACTTAAGGGAGTGTGCAGTGGCCAACTTTCCTAAAGGAATTAATCTAATAGGAGGAACACTAGTGAGCTGCATGTATTTTGGAATGGGAACCATTAGGGAATTAAACTGGAAATTAGGGCAGGAACCATCCTTGATTATACAGGTAGTCCTCGACTTACAACAGTTCATTTAGTGACCGTTCAAAGAGACCTGCACTGAAAAAAGTGACTTATGACCGTTTTTCACACAACCGTTGCAGCATCCCTTTAGTCATGTGATCAAAATCCGGATCCTTGGCAGCTGCTTCATACTTACGACGGGTGCAGTGTCCCGGAGTCACCTGATCTGCTTTTGCAACCTCCTGACAAGCAAAGTCCATGGAGAAGCCAGATTAATTTAACAACCATGGTACTACAACTGCGATGAGTCACTCCACAATTGTGGCAAGAAAGGACAACAAATGGGGCAAAACTCACTTAAAAACTTCCAGTGTTGGAGCATTCACCACTTCTGGAGGCAGGTTGTTCCACTGGTTAATTGTTCTAACTGTCAGGAGTTTTTCATTAGTTCTAGGTTCCTTCTCTCCTGGAAACTAATCAAGGAGAGAAGCAACCTAGAACTAAGGAGAAACTTCCTGACAATTAGAACAATTAACCAGTGGAACAACCTGCCTCCAGAGGTGGTTAATGCTCCAACACTGGAAGTTTTTAAGAAGAGACTGGACGGCCATTTGTCTGAAATGGTATAGGGTTTCCTGCCTGAGCAAGGGGTTGGACTCGATGACCTCCAAGGTCCCTTCCAACTTTTTTTATTATTATTATTATTATTATTATTATTATTATTATTATTATTATTATTATTATTATTATTATTATTATTATTATTATTATTATTATTATAGCAAATGCCTCACTAAGCGACATAAATTTTGGGATCGATTTGTGGTTGTAAGCTTTCAGGAACAGGATAAATGGCAAGAAGAGAATGGCAAAGATTTTATTCCAAAACCAAGGAAAGGACTGGAAAGGAGTAATTCCCTTTTAAAGAAGGGATAAATAAGCTTCTTTTAAAAGGAAAGAGGACATATATGCAGGAGCTGCAGCTAAGTCAGAATGCAAAAGACACTTCCGTGAAAGGGAACGTAAACCGAATTAGCTGGTTGGGGAGTTATAGGAGTTGTAATTAAAAGGGTTGAAGATAGAAACTGGAGATAGACTTCAAACTACCAATCCATACTCACACTAATATTTTGTTCCTCTTGTGCAGGGGTAGGCAACCTTGGCTCTTTCATGACTCGTGGACTTCAACTCCCAGAATTCCTGAGCCAGCATGGCTCAGCTTGGAAACCTCTCCCTTTCCCTTCAGCATGGCTAGCTCAGGAATTCTGGGAGTTGAAGTCCATGAGTCATAGAAGAGCCAAGGTTGCCTACCCCTGGCCTATACGATAGGAAACTTGGCCCTTTTATGACTCGTGGACTTCAACTCCCAGAATTCCTGAGCCAGCATGGCTCAGCTTGGAAACCTCTCCCATTCCCCTCAGCATGGCTGGCTCAGGAATTCTGGGAGTTGAAGTCCACGAGTCATAAAAGAGCCAAGGTTGCCTACCCCTGCTCTTGTGCATATCTTTAAGGGGAGTGGGAGAAGTCAACCTCACTGTAAAGGTAGTCCTTAAATTATGCTGATTCATTCAGCCCCGTCCTTTGCACACCATGCATGAGGGGGGACATGATAGCAGTGTTCCAGTATCTCAGGGGCTGCCACAAAGAAGAGGGAGTCAAGCTATTTCCCAAGGTGCCTGAAGGCAGGACAAGAAGCAACGGATTGAAACTAATCAAGGAGAGAAGCAACCTAGAACTAAGGAGAAACTTTCTGACAGTTAGAACAATTAACCAGTGGAACAACCTGCCTCCAGAAGCAGTGAATGCTCCAACACTGGAAGTTTTTAAGAAGAGACTGGACAGCCATTTGTCTGAAATGATATAGAGTTTCCTGCTTGAGCAGGGGGTTGGACCAGATGACCTCCAAGGTCCCTTCCAACTTTTTTTTTAATTATTATTATTATTATTATTATTATTATTATTATTATTATTATTATTATTATTATTATTATTATTATTATTATTGTGACTGCAATGGGGAGCGATGGGATTGCATGAGTGCCTTGCTTAACCACAGCAACAACTTAATGATCATAATTCTGGGTTCGGACGCAGTCATAAATCAAGGACTACCTGTATTTTTCAAATTCATGTTCTACCTTTGATTGGGTTCTCTCCCAAAGGTGCTTTTTCATGAGGCACCTGGACTTCCTTGTTTTTCCTTTGAAGACGTTTTGCTTCTCATCCAAGAAGCTTCTTCAGCTCTGACTGGATGGTGGGGGAAATGGAAGGATTTATGCTGCTTGCAGACAGCTGCCTTCTTCTAGAGAGTCGTTGAGGCCACCTGGAGGTTTACCTGTGTCCTCAGGGTCACCTGAGTAGTGCAAATGTGTGTGGAGCCTTCTTGGCTGCAGGATGATTTCTGCCCTGTGTCCCATTGGATTGCCTATTTGTAAGAAACAGTCTTGTCGGGATACTAAATTCAGAATTAAGGTTGCTTTTTCATTCCAATGTGAGAAGCTGTAAGCTTTGTCTGACTAGACTATATTTCTCTTTTTGACAGCACATATATTCCTGTTCCCCGGAAGATCAAGGTCAACAAAGACAAGGTGAGTTGTGGCTACACTCATTCCAGAAGGTTCTTTCTCTGTAAGGAAAGGGCAAATCCAGATCACCCTCAGTCGGAAGAGAATGGTCGCCCTTTCATTCATTTTCATGTTCAGTCAGGAAATTAAATTCAGTGCTCCATCACTGGAGGTTTTCAAAATTAGTTTGGACAACCATTTGACTGGGATGGTATACGATCTCCTGCTTTGAGCAGGGGGTTGGACTAGAAGACCTCTGAGGATCCTTCCAGCGTTATGATTCTATGTTCCATTAAGGGATTGGTATATTTAGAGTCTTAAGAGGGAGGGGGGAATATAATAACCCTCTTCAAACTTCTGAAAGGATGGAGAAGATCAAAAGAGTTGTACAGGGGTAGGCAACCTTGGCTCTTTTATGACTCGTGGACTTCAACTCCCAGAATCCCTGAGCCAGCCATGCTGAGGGGAAAGGGAGAGGTTTCCAAGCTGAGCCATGCTGGCTCAGGAATTCTGGGAGTTGAAGTCCACGAGTCGTAAAAGAGCCAAGGTTACCTACCCCTGGTCTAGTATGAAGAACAGAAGAGTGGATCTAAGTTATAGGGAAGCATATTATGGTTGATTGTTGGCAGAGACAAATCATATGGAACCCATTCCTCAGAAAGATTATGGAATCTCCTTCACTGGAAAGGCTTGATCAGAATCTGGATAGCCATCCATTAGATACGTTTTAATTTGAATTCCTGCATCACGAGGTTGACATAAGGGGCCCTTCCACCTCTTCTGATTTAATGCAAGCTCTGTACAATGGATAGCATAATATAATAAAGCAAACTTTTTTCAAGAAAGGGGGAAATCCTCGTTCCTCTCCCTATGCACACCCAGACAGATTGTTCAAACAAAGGCGGGCTGCGGGAAGCTCATTTACTTTGAAATCTGTGAAAGATAAAGGTGAAGCATTTGGCAGAAGATCAGGTTAGTAAATAAAATATGTTTTGAATTGCACAGAAGCTGCCTCTTCGGGTTTTTTTCCTTGTTGCTGTTCAAACAAGCTTCAATGTAACAGCTACATAGCAGGATGTATTTGGCTGCATACATTAAAGCGCAAATCGGGCTTCTCTCTCGTCCTAAGTGGATGGAACAACCCTTATTTTTGCATCCAAAGATACACACAACACGCCCTTTAACACACACCCTTATTTTATTATTTATTATTATATTTTTACCCCGCCCTTCTCCTTGCGGACCCTTGTTCACGAGTAACCTATAGGACAGCGGTTTTCAACCTATGGGTCGCGACCCCTTTGGGGGTCGAACGACCCTTTCACAGGGGTCGCCTAAGACCATTAGAAAAGACATATTTCCGATGGTCTTAGGAACCAAGACCCCGCTCCTCTATCTGTCTCCGCACAGCTTCGAGCTGGGGGCCGTTGCACCGCCGTATTCGTTTCCGTTGAGCATCTCCTAAGGGAGGCTGCGCTGCTTCGCGGCCCTTTCCACGGAGGAGGCTGAACTAAGCTCTGCCGGCGCTGTCACCCTCTTGGCGCTCTCTCGCTCTCCCCACCTGGGCGCTTCTCCAACCAGGCTGGGTGGAGCCGGCGGAGCGGCCTTCCTGCCCCCCCCTCCCCGGCCAGCTGGAGCCGGGCAGGCCGGCGACCTTCGGAAGTGAGGCGAGGACAGGCGAGGCGCACTGAGCCCCGGGCGCGGCGGGTGAGTGGGCGGCGTCAGTGCGTGCTTGGAGAGCCCTTAGGGTTGGGGGTCACCACAACATGAGGAACTGTATTAAAGGGTCGCGGCATTAGGAAGGTTGAGAACCACTGCTATAGGATGCCTAATATGGAGATTCAGAAGTGAACGTTCACCTTCCCAGCTGACTGGCTGAAGTCACAGAACTCAACTTGGTTGAAATAGGTAGACTGAGAAAGTTGTAAATTCAGGTGAGTTGAGTTCCACCATATGCAGGACTAGGGAAAATTGGTAATTATTGTTCATTGCATGATAGGATATGTTCATGGTACTGTAGAAAGCCCAACATCCATCTTAGCATGTGATGTGACCAAGGTCCTCATGAAACACCATCATAACAATTTATTTCCATGGGGGATGGCATTTTATGTGAATGCAGGAAGCGTGTTGCTAATCCAAGGCTAACATGGTGTGTGAATTCCGTGATTGTGTTGGAATGTCTTTGCAGATGGTCAATCGTGGTTGTCCCAAAAGTGCTTTTTCCAAAGGACAACTAGACTTTCTTGCTTCAGAACGGAAGAAGCTTCTTGGATGAGAAGCAAAATGTTTTTCAAAAGAAAAAAATAAAATAAAAACCAAGAAAGTCCAGTTTTCTTTTGAATAAAGTACCTTTGGGACATTATCGTGGTAGAATGCAGTCTGGATTCCCAGGAGGGAGGGGCTGCATTCCAAAGGACCAAGAAACAGCAAAGTTTAAATAGTTTGGTTGGGAGGAAGTCCCTAGAAGTTCTCAGAATATATCTTTAGTGATGTAAGGAATTGTTTTAGTTTGGCAAGATTTCTGTCTACGGGTGACGAACAATAAAGGAAACTGCTTAGAAGGAACATAACCTGTCTTTCTTGAGTTTTGGAGCCTGACAACTATTGTTCAATTTGGTTTGCAGCCTGTGATCTGAATGAATAAATAAGGCAGCGAGGTGTGTGTTGTTTTTTTTATCACCCTGTGTCCATTTTCTCCACCCTAATCCTTGTAAGCAAGCACAGAGCAAGCACAGATTGCATCCATCTATAACAGGGGTCTTCAGACTTGGCCCTTTTATGACTTGTGGACTTCAACTCCCAGAATTCCTCAGCCAGCATGCCTGGCTGAGGAATTCTGGGAGTGTAAGTCCACAAGTCATAAAAGGGCCAAGTTTGAAGACCCCTGATCTAAGATTCCAAAAAACTATGCTCTCTGCTAAGGGGAATGTTTAGGTTTGCACAAGATGTAATTTCTGGGAGCACCTTCCCAGGTAAACAGTGGCATCTGAATGTTTTAAACTTTTTAAAAATTTTAAATTTTGAAGAAAATTACAGGACAGACTTTACTAAAACTTTCCCCAATAGACACAGGGATGGAGCAGCATTCAATTGCTAAGAAAGTGTTGTTGTAGCACCACCTACAGGTAGCAGAGAGAACAGCCCAGTCACCCCTTAAAAAACGAGTCAAGTGGAAAATATTATTAGAAGCTTCCAAATCGCAGTTTCCCCCTAATTTTATCCCCCGAGAAAATAACTCAGGTTGAAAAAGTGCTGCGAGTTTTGATTTCGCAGGCTTTTTTTCCACAGGGGTAAAATTATGGAAGACCTTATAGATGCCATCCAGAACCTCCAGCATAGCGACAACAGAAATAGGATATAAATGCAATCAATCAATTGTTATTGTTGTTGTTTTTGTTTTGTTTTTTTTAAAAAAGCAAGCTGGCATGCTGTACAGGGCTGACATCTAGCATCTCCCTTCTTTCCAAAAATCTGTCTTGGGCCCTAGAAAGACTTTCCCTCTGGGTATTCTCAGAAAATCAAAAGTGAAATCTGCTTCAGGTTCTTCACCCAAATGAAGAAATAAGCTGAAGGAAGTGTCAAAGGCAGGATGTGGCAGGAAACACACTTAGAGAATGACAAAGCTGCCAAGATGGAAAGGACCACAAACATCAGCTAGCCCAGCCCTCTGCAGTATGCAGGAGAATCATCTCTCTCTCCCTCTCTCTCTGTCTCTCTCTCTCTGTCTCTCTCTCTCTCTCTCTCTCTCCTTCCCTCCTTCTCTTTCCCCCCTCTCTCCCTCTCCCCCTCTCCCCTCTCCCTTCCTCCCTCTCTTTCCCCCCTCTCTCCCTCTCCCCCTCTCTCTTACCTCCGTCTCTTCCCCTCTCTCTCCCTCTCCCTCCTCTCTCCCTCTGTCCTTCCCTCCCTCTCTCTCCCCCTCTCCCTCTCTCTCCCTCCCTCCTCTCTCCCTCTGTCCTTCCCTCTCTCCTCCCTCTCCCTCCCTCTGTCCTTCCCTCCCTCTCTCCCCTCTCCNCTCTCTCTCTCCCCCCTCTCCCTCTCCCCCTCCCTCTATCCTTCCCTCCCTCTCTCTCCCTCTTTCTTTCCTCCCTCTCTCTCCCTCTCTCCCCCTCTCTCTCTCCTTCCTTCCCTCCCTCTCTCTCTCCCCTCTCTCTCTCTCCCTCTCCCCCCTCTCTGTCTCTCTCAGAGAAAATCGGGCATGACTCACCATCACAATTGATCCCAAAATTTCTGTCGCTAAGTGAGACATTTGCTAAGTGAGTTTTGCCCCATTTGATGTCCTTTCTTGCCCCAGTTGTCAAGTGACTCGTTGCAGTTGTTCAGTTAGTAACATGGTTGTTAAGCGAATCCGGCTTCTCCATGGACTTTGCTTGTCGGGAGGTGGCAAAAGCGGATCACGTGACTCCGGGACTCTGCACCCGTCATAGGTATGAAACAGTTGCCAATGATCTGAATTTGGATCACACGACCAAGGGGATGGTGCAACGGTTGTAAGTGTGAAAAACGGTCATAAGTCACTTTTTTTTTCAGTGCCGTTGTAACTTTGAACGGTCACTAAATGAACTGTTGTAAGACCGCAAGGATTAGCTAGCCTAGTCCTCTGTAGTATGCAGGAGATTCATTCTCTCTCTCTCCCTCTCCCTCCCTCTCTCTCTCTCTCTCTCTCTCTCTCTCTCTCTCTCTCTCTCACACACACACACACACACACACACACACACACAGAGAGAGAGAGAGAGAGAGAGACTGGCTTTCTTAAGAACCTCCAGTGATTTAAAAACTTGTGTCCTGGAAAATGAGTTTGCTTTACTTCACTCCCATCCTGGCAGCCATTCTATGAATAGACACCCCACACTACATCTGTGATTTTTTGCGGGAGCCTCCAACAGCTGCATTCCAAATTCCAGATGGGCCCTGAAGAGACAGCCCCCACCACACTGAACTCTGATTGACAGCTGAGGCCTGGAAAGCTGCTTTAGAATTTCCTGCTGCTTCCTTTGGTTTTAGCGGATTCTCCGGGTCTTTTAACCTTTTACATATACAACTCGAGCGGTCTCCTGTACTGAGTTATGGGTGTTCTGGCAGAATAAGTTGTTTATTAATTATGGATTTATTCAGTGTATGCGGCTACCCTCTTGCTGTCCAACTCTGGGGAGCTAAGAGGGGTTCAAAAAAATCCTCAGGATATAGAAAAGCCAGCAAAGGCACATATTGCACAGAGGGCAATATATCAACGTATTGCATATTAATAGCAATAACCTTTAGACTTATGTATGCCCCGTGGTGCTTTAGAGCACTCGTTTTACCCCCCTCGGAAGGATGGAAGGCTGAGTCGACCTTGAGCCTTGTCAGGATCGAACTCTGGGCTGTGGGCAGAGTTAGCCTGCAATACTGCATTCTAACCGCTGCGCTACCAGGGCTCCTATTAATGGTTCATACAACATCCTGCCTCAGGGCCAGAGAAGAACCACATCTCAAAAGATCTTTTTAATGACCAGAAGGATCAGGCCATCTGAATCTCAGGATGGAAAGGTGCTCTTCTATAGGACTTAGAAATCCTGGCCAAACCTGTGGGGTAAGCACAAATATCTGGAGATAGATGGTCCTATAGATCAGGGATTTTCAACCAGTGGTACGGGTACCACCTGTGGTACATTGGCACCTAGCAGGTGGTACGCGACCATCCTAGAAAAGTGGTAGTGGGGGAGGGGAATGAGCTGAACCGGTGGCAGCACCGCACAAGCCTGAGCGAGAGACGGCTGGAGCTGCAGGGCTGTCAGGGCTCAGCGGAAGCGCCAGGATCAGTGCCGCTTTCCAGCTGATCGGCGCTTCTTCGGGGCTGTCAGGGCTCAGTGGAAGCGCCAGGATCAGTGCCTGGCTCCAGCTGGAGCTCGGCGCTGATCCTTGTGCTTCTGCTGAGCCCTGAAGAAGCGCCGATCAGCTGGAATGTTGCAGCATCTCCAGGGTCTTGTGATTTACATTCAGATGCTTGGCAACTGATTCATATTTATGACGGTCACAGTGTCCCAGGGTCATGTGAAGTGACCAAAACCTGCTGCAACCACCCAGCAGACGGTGGGAATAAAAACCAAACACACACCCCCCCATCCCCGTTGCCAATCCTCAACAATGAAAACCTCAGACAGGAGGAAGAGCGCGGCCGGGTGGGCAGGCAGGTGTCTTGCTCGGCTGTGGCTTGGGAGCACTTTTTTCAGTGCCATTGTAACTTCGAACAGTCACTAAGCGAACTGTTGTAAGTCGAGGACTACCTGTACTTTATTACTTTTTTCCCTTTTTTGGGGGGGTCATCAAGTTTTTGACACCTTGCTGGTGGTACTCAGATGTTGCCATATCCTAAAAGTGGTACAATGGGTGAAAAGGTTGAAAAGTCCTGCTATAGATAAGCTGGCCTACTTGCAACCAGTGTAACTCAAACAGTAGAAGTGTTGTGGTTATACAGTAGAGTTGTGCCCACGAACACTTGCCCTGCCACATTCTGGACCATGTGTAGCTTCTGAGTGGTCTTCAAGAACAGGAATCTAAACTGGTGCCCTCTCTCTTTTTAGCTTGCAAATTTACAGCTTTCAAGGGCAGCCCCTTGTGAGGCACACTGCAGTAATCCAAACAATAATCCTAGCTAATACAGTAATTCTGATTGATAGTTTAGGTTTGGGCCATCGGTAGCATCACTTGCCACGATCATGACAGGATGCTCTGTGCTTGCAAATTATTGGGTTGTTTTTTATTATTATTATTATTATTATTATTATTATTATTATTATTATTATTATTATTCCTAGTTGATTATTCTGATGGACAGCTTAGATTTTGGCCACTGGTGGCATCACCTGCCAAAACTGTGACTGGGATTCTCTGTGTTTGGAAATTATTGGTTTCTTAGAAATTCTGCTTTCTTGACATGCTAAAATCTGAGATAGGAAAAGCTACCCAAGCAAGACTTTTTATATTACAGTGTATTTTTTTTTCTCTTTCATCTCCTTTCTCTTTTTCAACTTCCTGTACAACCCACTTCTAGCCCTTGATGATAGGATATATTAAATAAATACCGTTTTTCAAATCTGGGCCCTGCTCGTTTCAAAAAGCATTGCATTTAATCCCCTGCAACCACATACTTTTATTCAAGGTTCTCAAAATAAATGGTGTTTCTCCAGTGTTCAACTGTTGTTTGATGAGGATGTACCAAACTTGCCAATTGGGGAACAGAGCACATTTTGTACATTGTTAGAATTTGCTGGGGTTTTTTTTTTAATTTAATTTCTCTGAAATTAAAGTAATAGGGTATGTTCTTTCATTTTGTGCAGATCATGGTTTATCATCCTAGTTTTATAAAATATGTTTACGACAACTGGCTCCAACATCATGGGAGGTATCCCTCAACCGGATTCCTATCAATTATCTTTGCCCTGCACCTCTGTGATGAGGTAAGTGACATACTAAGGCTAGGCTACCTTCATAAAAAGTGAGAGATCCTGGTTTGCATGGTGCCCTGCATTGATTTGATGACCCAACCATTGTTCAAGTTAACCCTTAAATACCCAGAACACTTTTTAAAAAATGTTTTTCCACACATCCTGTTCCCATTACTGTAATCTTAATGAAACTATTCCTTACTAGCTGTACCCGGCCACGTGTTGCTGTGGCTCAGTCTGGTTAAATGGAAAAGAAAGAAAAGAGAAAGCGCACGTTTGTAATAAACTATACTCACGAAATGAACGCTATGGTAAACGACACAGCTCAATTCCAACGCAATGTCACACGAAATAATTAAATCAAAATGAAAATAAATCAATCTATGAAAATTCGATTTAACAATGCAAATCGGAAACATTGAAATGGAATCGTAAAATTGGAAATTTGGAAATCGTAAATCGGAAACATTGAAATGGAATCGTAAAATCGTAGCATGTGTTGCTTTTACGTCCAACAGATGGCGCTGTTTTTCCAAAAAAAGCATGTTTTTACCTGTCGCAGGTGTGACATCTATATAATAGTATGTATATAAAAACACGCGCGTATTCGAATGCAACGTTGTGTCAAAATTTCAAAGCAATCGGTGAAGAACTTTCGGAGATTTAAGATTTTGAACAAACGAACATTTACATTTTTATTTATATAATATAGATTTTCTGTAAATTCGTATCAGGCCATTGCTGAATTTCTGCTCTAGGCACCATCATCTTCTTTAAACAGTGAGAATTGTACTTCGACAATTGAGGATTATAGGTGGCTAACATCCTACTAAATCATGTTTTCTTCTCCCAGGGAGCCTACATAATTTTGGAAAACAATATCTTCCATTGCAAAGGAGGGGGCTAACATTGTCTTGAGGTTGTCATGGTTACTTCAGCAATACCTGTGAAGGTATTAATAAGAGGGATAGAATCAAGATCACGTGAACTTCTAATACCGCTCTACAAAGCCTTAGTAAGATCACACTTGGAATACTGCATCGAGTTCTGGTCACTACAATACAAAAAAGATGTTGAGACTCTGGAAAGAGTGTAGAGAAGAGCAACAAGGATGATTAGGGGCTGGAGGCTAAAGGATTACAGTAATGGAACAGGATGTGTGGAAAATCTTTTTTTAAAAGTGTTTTTTTAATGTTGTTCAAGGGTCAACTTGAACAATGGTTGTGTCATCAAGTCAATGCAGGTTGCAGGAATTGGGTATGTCTAGTCCAGGGGTGGCGAACCTTGGCTCTTTTATGACTTGTGGACTTCAACTCCCAGAATTCCCGAGCCAGTCCACAAGTCATAAAAGAGCCAAGGTTCCCCATCCTGGTCTAGTCTAATGAAAAGAAGGACTAGGGGAGACATGATAGCGGTCTTCCAATATTTGAAGGGTTCCTGCAAAGAAGAGGAGGTCAAACTATTTTCCAAAGCACCAAAAGGCGAGACAAGAAACAATGGATGAAAACTAACCAAGCAGAGAAGCAACCTGGACCTAAGGAGAAAACTCCTAGTGGTTAGAGCAGCCAACCAATGAAATAGCTTGCCTTCAGAAGTTGAGGCTGCTCCATCACTGAAGGCTTTCAAAAAGAGACTGGATAACCATTTGTCTGAAATGGTATAGGGCAGGGGTCTTCAAAGTTGGCCCTTTTATGACTTGTGCATGCCTGGCTGAGGAATTCTGGGAGTTGAAGTCCACAAGTCATAAAAGGGCCAACTTTGAAGACCCCTGATATAGGGTCTCCTGCCTTAGCGGGGGCTGGGGTGGACTACAAGGCCTCCAAGGTCCCTCCCAACTCTTGTTATTCTAGGTTCTACGATTGCTAGAAATATTAGACATAAGGAAAATAAAATCCATTTAAGAACCAATTCTTTTTTTTCCTTTTTTTTGTCCTATCCACTCTTTCTCCGTAGCTGGATCTCTACGGCTTTGGGGCAGACAACAGAGGCAATTGGCACCACTACTGGGAGAATAATCCTTCTGCGGGAGCCTTTCGGCAGACCGGCGTCCATGATGGAGACTTTGAGGCAAACGTGACACAAACCCTCGCCTCAGTGGCCAAAATACGGCTCTTCAAGGGCAGATGACCCCGGTGGGGTCGGACAAGCGGTGATCTCTGGCAAAGAAGGAAGGGAGATGTTTTAAAATAAATGGAGTCTTGGAGGGGGCGGTCTGTCAAGTCTCAACCGAGAAATGCTTCAGAGAACTTCCAGGCTGCAATTAGCAGGCAGCTTTGAAAGGCCCCCTCAAATACCAGCTTCGAAGTTTGACAGCATCGGAAAACGCCCCGTTTGGAAAGGAATGTCTGCTCCAGACTCTCCTATTGTAACCCATGTTTTCATTCTTTTTCCACCTTCAGAATTACCAGATCTTCAGCTCTACAAAGAAAAAAAGAGAGGGGGGGGAGGCAAAAGAGATCAGGGAATTTGCAAACACCCTCTTGTTTTCAAATTACCTCAAAAGAGCTTTTTCCAATCATGGTTTTTTTTTTTTCTCTGAAGGATCTTGGCAAGGCCAACAACCCTCACCAATTCTTTGTTGGGCAGGGTGAACAAGATCTTTGTCTCCTGTGAGCAAAACAATTGCCGTGCCGTGTCGGTTAGTCTTTTTTTTTTTTTTTTGACTATTGAAATGAAATGTCCTGTTTCCAGGTAATATATACGGTTGCTATTTAGTGTGGCTACAACCCAGGAGTAAAGTAGCAGGGATCCGTGGTTATAAAAGAAGATAATGCAGGGGCAGGTTAATATTTTTATTTTACTTTTACTTTTTTTAAATGCTCTGCCATTGCACGGTTCTCAATTCTCTTGCGAAGCAGAGAAATGAATTAATGTTGCACACAACCAAACACAAGGACACGCACAAATACAGCGCATGATCTGGGCTCCATAAATTTAGACAACCCCTAGATGGCATCAAAGGTTATTTTATATTTCTGCAACATTGGCAGTTTTGCAGCCCAGATCTTTGGCTTAACACACACACACACACACACACACACCTATCATTGACATGTGCCTTTCTAAAACACCCATAACATAAAGGGAGCGAACTTGTTTGTTACATTCCCTCAGAGACTGAACTCTCAAAACTCCACTTGTTCTATGAAAATAAGGGACACAAAATTTAAAAACTGCTCATCCTACCTTGTATATAGGTGGCTTTTGAAATTTTTGGGCAGAAGAAGGAAAGGAAAAAGAACCGTTTTTGTCTTATTTTCAAGAACACTTGGGAGGGGGAAAAAGTTGAAAGATTTTTGCTTCTATTTTTTACAGTTGTTGTACATTTAAATATATATTTTAAAGTATTGAGAATTTTAAAAAAAGGCAGTGGTCCCATCAGCATGAGAACAGCAAGGCACAGATCTGAGATCATTCAGTTCACCAGCAGAGTCTGTTCCATCCAAATTCCAGGAGGTCCGTTTTGCGAGAGAGAAAAATGACGGATTGAACACCCATTAAATCGATCCAAGTGCTGTTGACGTGTATACAGGATCTGAATCATCAATAAAAAGTCCAAATTAACAAGGAGAATTCATCCACAGTCTACAGAGACGAAGATTCCAGAACATCTGGAGGAGGACTTCAAAGTTCTAGAATGTGGAACTCAACCTAGATAGATGAAGCCAACCAGCCAATGTTTAGACAGCCAACCACAGAAGCAAAACTGGGGAGGCACTTGAAGAGGTAGCAGCATTGTGAAAACAGAGATGGATGGATTATTATTACCTCATTTAACTAGACATCCAACCAACTTCCTCTCTCAGCTGTAGGACACAAACAACGACCTAGGATCGGGATGCTACTTTGCCTGCTTTTTCCATCATGCATTGATCAGTCTTTCCACACCGTGGAATCCTACTGAAGAGTTGGTTTGCAACACACTGTTAGGGCTGGAGTGTTAGGCCCGTTCGTCTTAACATTCTGGAAGGAGTACCAGATTGAGGTAGGCTGGTCTGGAACATAGAGCCACTTCTTTTTACAAAACAGAAAAATAACATTGCAGTTGCAGACGTAAACTTCCCCTTCCTTCCAAGAGTGTCTTCACCAGTCGCTAGTCTGCTTCCTGGTTTGGAGGTCATACAGTTACGTGGTCTTCTTCAAAAGTAAAACTGGCCAATTTCAAATAAGCTATATTTTTTAAGCAGATTGTCCCGGATACCGTAAATTAAAGTCTCCATACATTTTGTAGCACAGGTTTAAATCATGATTTCTTTAAATCATGTTCAAGGACATTAGTCCCGAGGCTGGATGGCTTCTGGAGTGAGAGTGACCTTCTTTTTCTAGACTTTTCTAGACTCGGCAGTTTTTCTTTTAACAGCAACTTGTTTATGTACAGGAAAAGGTGCTTCTACTTCTCTCCATGAAAACATGTGCCTGTTGAATTCGGCTGATCCAGCTTTGATTAAGGATTAGAGCAGGCCAGGAAATTTCGTCTTGCTCAGACGGCATCCTTAAACCACGATTGTGTATCCCGAATCCCGTCATCCTGTTGGTTTGGGGGTTCTTTTATGCTGTATTTTTAAACTATCGGACAGGAATAAAACAAATTGAGCTCAATGTGTCAAAAGCTTAAACGTACATGGGTGTCGAAGCATCTCTCCGTTTGTTTCCAGCTGCAGGATTTGAGTTCTACCAAAGGTTTATAAATCTTATTTTATTTATAATTTGGGCTGAAGAGAAGAAGAGAAGAAATGTGATAGGTCATGATATTGGGAGAATCTGGGAGAATTTATTCTGAAGAATAGGAAACGGTTCTCAACAAACCATTCTTGATTGCAGTGTGCTGTGTTCCCAAATTGTATGTGTATTTTAAGCAGTCTCAGAGGGATCTAGGACAATTCGCCATAGCTAACTTGCCACAGGACAAGAATAGAATAGAATAGAATAGAATAGAATAGAATAGAATAGAATAGAATAGAATAGAATAGAACTGGAAGGGACCTTGGAGGCCTTCTAGTCCAGCCCACTGCTGGACACTAATATCGAAAAACATGGTGGAATAGAATCATTAAAGAAAGGCTGCAAAAGGAGGGATAGAGTGAAATGGGAATGACAAAAGTTAAAGTAATTCTTTAAATCATGTTTAGATAATTAAATTAAATTGTTGAATTGTCCTGTATCAAGTTGTTCCCCAGCAAGTTAGCTGCAGCAAGTTGTCCCATTCCGGTCTCAGAGGGCTAAAGATATTTAGACATGAGGATTAGAATCTTCCAAAAGAAAAGCAAGGCTTTTTAACAGATTAGCCCCAGCCAACAGCAGAGACTGCACTATCTATTTAATCTAGATTCGTGGCCAAAGGGATTTATTTCTGCCAAGCAGAAATCCAGCCAGGAAAGTTTTCCTTAGCATAAACATGCAGCGATAGAGAACAGCCTCCTCAGTGGATTTTTACTTAATTTCGTTGGGAGTTACACAGTGACAATAAAGATACTCTATTCAATTTTATTTGTTGTACAATGAGGTCTGGGTCGAAAAATTCAAAAGACCCCATCAAAAGCAAGGATGTCTGGTTGCTTTTAAAACTGGATTGTTCCCATCCACAAGCATAATTTATCAATTGGAGCTTTCAAATTAGGGCATTGTTTTGACCTGCAGGTCTGAATTTGGGTCAAGAAGATGGATTAGAGCAGGGGTCTTCAAACTTGGCAACTTTGAGACTTGTGGAACTTCAATTTCCAGAATTCCTTAGCCAGCCAGGAATTCTGGGAGTTGAAGTCCACAAGTCTTAAAAGTTGCCAAGTTTGGAGATTCCTGGCTTAGATAATGCATTTGTTGCAATGGGCAGCTATAGAAGTTGAATGAATGAATGAATTCCCATATTAGACTTCTTTGGAGAACTATGCAGGTGATCCTGGCTGAAAGATTGTTCAATTTAATGAATGGGATCTAGGGATAGAAGAGAGCTTCTAATGGAGAGACGCTTGAATTGATAGCCCAACCAAATACCTGGCCTCTCTTGGCACACTCACCCAGTGGTGTTTTGTAGTTCAAGGTATTTCAGGCAGTATCTTGACATTTTCTGCAACTCAGATCCTTGCCTGAAGCTACCAGAATGCTTGGTGAGGACAAAGCTATTAAGTGAACTAGAAACAGAGCTTTATGAATCTGACTTTAAGGCTTAATGTTCTTGTCTGAATCCAGCTGCTATATTTTACTTTGTGTGCATTTGAGTTGAGCTTTAAATAAGAACAGTGCTGAGATCAGGCCAGCTGCTGGAGAGAGGTAAATAGGAACATGTTTGTAACCAGGGGTGGCTCTTTATTTAATGTTCACTTCCTTTCCATGGTCTTGACAAAAGTGGTTTGCTACCAGCATCCACCCACCCACCCACACCCACAAACACAAATGTAGATCTTTGTTTGAATGAAAGGTAGATAACTATCATAGGATCAGCAGGCTGGTTTCCATAAGGACAGCTCTGGGTGGCTATTATTAAACTGAAAAAAAGGTTTAAAATAAACAGTATTCTGGATTAATCAACATAGAACATAGAGTAACAGAGTTGGAAGGGACCTTGGAGGTCTTCTAGTCCAGTGATGGCGAACCTTTTAGAGATAGAGTGCCCAAACTGCAACCCAAAACCCACTTATGCATCATCGGGTGCCGGGTGGGTGTGGCCCATTGGGTGGGCGTGGCTGCAGTGGTAACGGCAGACTGGGTGGGACTAAAAAGTTCAATCAATCAATTCCAACTTTGCAAGATTTTTTTTTCCCCGCAAGAAGTTGAAATTGATTGAACCTTTTTTTTTTTTTTGCACACGGCGGCAGAGGTCTAAAGCGAAAAGGTTTTATAAAACCCAGCTGAAGGCCTAGGACTGGGGCGACGGCGTGCGTGCCCACAGAGAGGGCTCTGAGTGCCGCCTCTGGCACCCGTGCCATAGGTTCGCACCACTGTTCTAGTCCAACCCCCTGCTTGAGCAGGAGACCCTATACCATTTCAGACAAATTCTGTTTGGGAAAGCTTTCAGTGATAAGAGTACTGACAACTTATGAAAGCGCAAGAGATGTTCCCTTGATTGATTGCTGTCACTGTTAGGAAATGTCTTAGTTCAAGGCTGTTTCTCTCCTTGGCTATTTTCCATCAACACAGTTTCTATCAACCTAGTGTGAATGCAAAGGGCAATAGGATAATT